CTCCCTCCTGTTCGAACACCCTCCTGCGCTCGTCCAGCTCCTGATGTGTCCCCCTGTCATATGTCCCCAGCAGCCTCCCTTGCCTCTTCAGATCCTCCTCGCGCTTGGTTTCCTGCTCGATTTCCCTCTGGACGTAAAGGGAAGCGCGGCCTTTGTCCTTCCCTTTCCTGCCCGGCCCCGGAGAGCTGTGCAGGGAGAGGACAGGCTTGGTCTGGATCTCCACCAGCTCGCTGCCGTCGCTGCCGGAGTCCAGCCGCTGGATCCCCCTCTCCTTCCAGAGGTTCTCCTCCCTCTCCATCGCCATGCGGATCTCCCGCTCGATGGGTGTCTCCTTGCTGATCTTCGTTTCCTTGGCCAGGCTGTCGCTGCCAGCCCTCAGATCCCCAAGGCCATTGACGATCTCGCTGGATGTGCTGCTGTTGCTGGTGTAGCCTGCATGGGCTTCGTTATACATCTCACCCAAGCCAGAGTCCAGGTCCTCTCTAGAAGATGCTTTAGTCAAGCTGGATGTTTTCCCAGTGGGATACGACCTTCCGGGAGCATAAACCGCCTCCTTCACAGGCATCTTGTAGGACACACTATAAACCTGATAAACGGTCTCGTCTGTCCCACCCTGGCTGGGTTCGCTGGCATTGCCGTGACCTCTCGCAGCCTTCGTGGCCCTCTCAGGGCTACGCCACTCCTGCCTGGAGACTTTTGTTGCTGACTCTGGCTTAGGAGACATGGCCTGTTGCCCTGGGCTGAAAAAAGAGCCCGGGCTGTTCTTCTCCAGCATCAGGAACTGCTGCCGAGCAGCAGAGAAGTTGATCTGCTCCGTATCGACGCTTTCGGGGTCGACTGGCGTCGCTGTCCTCCCCGAGGAAGGCTTGTCAAAGCACACGGCGAAGCTGGTGGTGAAGCTGCCGGTGCGCCTGCCTTCGCGCCGGCGTTGATGGAGCTCAGCTCATCCATGGAGCTCCACCTCTCAGCCATGGTGGAGCTCTTCCTCATCACCTGGCTCCGGATGACCTCCCTCCTCTCATCCGCAAGTTCCCGGGCTTTCTCGGGTGAGATGTGTGGTGGAGGGACCCTGTCCTGCTCTGGCTCATCCTCATCATAAAGCTTCGAGGGTTTCGTCTCACCTCTGTAAGCCCTGAGGTCATACAGGCTTCCCGACCTCACCACCTCCAGCTTGGACTCCCTGTCTGGGGATGGGGTCCAGACATCTCTTCCACCATCCAGGAAATACGAGGGGGACTTTGACCTCGCTTTCCAGCCGTAGCCATTTCCCACCCTGCTGCTGGG